TCCGAGTTTGGCTCTTCTTCCCCTTGGGTTCTCCATTTGAGGTAGGGACTCTCCTTGTTCTTTTTCAATACTCCGTCTATAGATAGACATGTGGTAGTTTTGTATTGCATGAAAATCATATCATGTTGAATTTCTTTGAAAACCATGTGAGGGAACCTAGGGTTTGTTGTTTGAGAATGATTATTTTATCATTGATAGTTCTTTGGGCTAATTGGAGTGTAAATTAGCATGTTATTGTGGAAAGAAGAAAAAGCCCTAAATTATGTTTTGATTTGGTAAATTAAAATAGAAGGTGGTTGATTAATGTTTATAAGCCTCTATTGTTAATATGAGTTGGGTGAAGGTGTTAATGCTTAAGGGATTAACTGTGACTTTGGGGTTGTTTTGATATGAATGTATTGAATCGAGTCAGGTTATGGCTTTATAATGAATGAAATTGGTTTTGTGAAATGAAAAAGGGATTTTGAAATTGGAAAATCCTGGAAGTTGATCTTGGAAATGGGGAATGAAATGTTAATTCTATGTGAGTTTTAGAAAATAAATATGAGAATTGAATTGTTGTATCATGAGTGTTGAATACATACATTTGGGGGTTTTACCCTTACCTATTGTACTAGTGTCGTTGTTGGGTTTAAGATCTCATGAGAGTTAAGTCTTTATAATAGGTGTATTAAAATCATGCATCTAGAGGTTTTGTCCTTGGTCATCGGTGGAGGATGATATGGTTGTGTTGAATTGTCGTGTATGCATTACACCTGTGTTGATTGAACATTGTATGTAATGAAGTGCTATGATACATTATATATGCATAAGTGTGTGGGAGGAGATAGGGGATGTACTCCACACATACCTATGTGTTCATATACTTTAACGCATTACTTATGTATCTTGATAGTTTGTGTATGTATTACACTTATTGGTTATACTCTGTTGTATTGTGATTATTAGTGTTATACCCTGCGCTTATAATCAGAGGTATTGTTACCTTCCAGCTAGCGCCTGGAGAACTGGCTGTGCTGAGAATCTAAGGTACCACACCCTTCCAGCTAGCGCCTGGTAAAATGGCATACCATTGTGAGAGTTGTATCCTTGGCTTACTGTGCATATAGCCGGTAGAGCAGAGTTTTATTGTTTTTGTCTCAGTGTATCTGAGTATATCATGGATTGTGATGGTTACAGTTTTGGAGGGCCGAGTTGCCTCATTTGTTGATTATATACATGTTAATGATTTGTTCTCTCCCTTTTATTGAAGGCATGCATGTATAGATATGAATGTATTGGGAACAAACCAAAATGACATTGTGAGATTTTGGAAAAGTGTGAAGGAAAATTGGGTATTTGAAAGTATGTTTTGAAAAAGGGAAAATCTGTTGTAAGTATGGAAAATGGGAGAAAGGTAATGGGCTTAGAGAAATTGATTTTCTAAGCAGTTGTTATTGTTATGAAAGTTTGGGAACAAAGGGTAGTGAAAAGAAAAGAAAGATGAATCGCTTATAGTGTTGAATGAAATGGTTGTTTTTGAGAAAAGTTCATACTTATGTATATTTTGTATAAACTGCCACATTATTATTCTAGTATGAGATTGAGCATTCATGATCATAGCTATCTGTAAGTTGTTATTGTTGAGGGTCATGTTGAGATCCCTACTGGACTATATGTTCATTCCACGTTGTTGAATCTTTTTCAGGTGTTAAGCAAGATGTGCTACAAGATGTGAATCTTCTTATTTGTTGGCCACGGGGCCTCTTTTGTGTTGGCGGAATGCCATATATGTAAAAGGGTTACACCCTTCTTCTTGATTCTTCAATGATGTAAGCCTTCGGGCATTTTATTCAGTATGCTCATATTGTATTTAATTTGCATTCGGATGAGAGAATTGTTATTTATTTCTACTCATGGGACTAAAGAGTTTATTTCCGCAAGTTATCTCTGAACTTGAATTAAGTTAATGAATTTGGTAATGACTTCGAGAAAGAAAAGTGGGGCGTTACATAGAGGTTCAATTGCTTGAGCTTCCAAATCCAAACCTTCAATTTCCCACAATTCTTCTACCAACTCTTGAGTTCAAACTCTCTCTCTCTAGATACACCCGAGTAGTACGAGAGAAATCATCAATAAATGTAACAAACCAACGATGACCTTTCATAGACACAACACGAGATGGACCCCAGACATCAGAATGTATTAATGAAAAAAGAACTAAACTTTTATTAAAACTAGGAGCAAAAAAAACTCTGTGTTGTTTTCCAAGTTGACAAGAGTCATAAAGAAATTCAGACACATTATTGTTTGAAAAAACAAATGGAAATAAATGCTTAAGTAAATAAAATAAAAAAAGATGCCCAAGACGCCGATGCCACAACCATATATCATCGGTGGTAGTAGGACTCGTGGTGGAAGAATGAGCAAGCTTGTCAGGTTGATTTAGAAAATAGAGACCATTTTCTACACTACCAATACCAATCGTCCTCCTTGTGACAAGGTCCTGAAAAAGACAATGATTAGGAAAAAATGTCACACTACAATTTAAATCCTTTGTAATACGACTCAAGGATAGCAGATTAACAAAAAAATTGAGAACATGGAGAACAGAAGAGAGAGGTAAAGTACGAGTGACATGGACTAAACCTTTCCTAGAAATAGAAGAAATAGTACCATCTGCAATCCTAACTTTGTCCTGACTTGAAGATGGCTTATAGGCAGAGAACAGGTCAGAGAAACCAGACATATGATTTGAGGCACTAGAATCAATAATCCAGGGCAAAGACTTATGAGACAGAAAAACACAAAGAGAAGAGGCTAAGTTACCTGAGCGGGCAAATGACGAGGAAGAGGTACTAAGAGCAGTAGAAGACCGACGGTCTAGCAAGTGACGCAGAACATCCTCAAGCTCATGAGTAGTCATGCCAGAGAGACCATCAGAAGCCTGGCCAATGGAAGTGGAAGTAGAATCAAGTATATCAACAGCACTAGACTGATGAGCCTGTGGATCAGAGCCACGTCCTCAAGACTGGCCTGACCGACCTCCTCTAGAACTAGACCGATCACCTTGACCCCCGAATAGAGGCCCATGAAGCTTCCAAAACGTCTCACGAGTATGCCGCGGCTTGCGACAGTAATCACAGAATACAGACTCCTTGGCAGCAAACAAAGGGATGGGAGTCAAGCTGAGGCCATCTCTAGGGATAGACAGTAAGGCAAAGCGGTCAGTAAAGGCAGGTGACATCATAGCAGACTGACGACTTTCCTTATTTTGTACATAAGCGAATGTCTCCTGAAGTGAAGGAAGAATGTCCATACCCAGAACCTCCAAATCGGATCATACTCCACATTAAGACCGGCCAAAAACTTGAAGACCCTTTCCTGTGCAATAAACTTCATGTACCCGACTGAATCAGCAGTGCAAACAGGTTTATAGTCCTGCAGGTGATCAAGGCGTTTCCAACGGTTGGTGAGGAAGGTAAAGTATTGAAGAACAGTCTGCGCTCCCTGAATAGAGCTCTCAATAGAACGACACAACTCAAATGCTTATGAGAAATTCCTTTTGCGGAAATAAATAGTAGCCACTGCCTTCTAAATATCCTATGCAGTGTCCATAGATAGATAGCCCTCTCCAATCTCCGGGGCCATAGAATGTATCAACCAACCCATAATTAGGGAGTTGGTGATCTCCCACTGATCATAACCTGAGTTCGTGGTGCTGGGTGCCTGTATCCTGCATCCTACCATCAACATACCCCATCTTCCCTTTGCTCTTCAAAAAAATAGTCAAACTCTGCGACTACGCTAGATAGTTCTGACTATTGAATAGAGAGGTGATGATTTTAAAACTAGGGTTAGGATTATCAGTTATAGTAGTAGGTATCATGAAACTCTCACTCTTAGGTGTCTGAGAAGTAATGGACCCACTGGTATAATCTGCCATAGATACTATACTACCTGACCCTCAACAAAAACTAGTGTCAATCACAAGCCCGGAAGATGGCGGAGGAATAGTAAACACGATGACCACTAAGAATATGAAAGAATTAAACACTCATCAAATTTTATTTTTTTTCCTTTTTTTTTTAGAGAAGAAGAAAAGAAAAGAAAAGAAAAATAACAAAGGTCAAACACTCATCTCAAAGTCACGACAGAAGAAGTCAAAGCACAAGGTCAAACACATATATAGACAACACAACAGAGGGAGACGAAGGAAACTAGAATGCCTCGAGGCTGTCGGCAAGCCAAGACGACACGGCCACAGCGGTCGACAAGGTAGGACGACATAGCCACAATGGTCAGCAAGGCAAGAAGGCCTGTCAGCAGGGACCAACACAAGTCTGGGCACCTGCAACAATGATCAAAGGGGTCAACTCAAGCCAAAAGACCTGTCGGCAAGAACCACAGTGGTCGACTTAGGCCAAAAGGCCTGCCAGCAGGGACCAACAAGAGACTCGGGCACCTACGGCAATGGTCGACTTAGGGCTGCCTCCTTCAGGTGCAGTCAAACCTGGTTTAGAGTGGGAGCTTTGTGGTGGCTGTGTGGTGTATGGATTTAGGGTTTAGGGTTGTGGTTCTAGTACCATGTTAATTTTAGAGAATACCAAGATTAGAGAATGATTGTGATATCATCCCCTTTTTATATTAATAAAGATTAATAATTACAAGGGAGCCCTAAGGCATAGAATAATTACAATTGAATAAAAAAACCTAACTAATAATATTCTAACAAAAAGTTAAAGGCTTCATTTCGTTCTTTTAAGGCAACAAGATGACTAAAAAATTAAATGCTATGTAAAATGAAAGAATCCCAACTAAGCTAACCAATTTTGTTAGGCTCAGTTAAGTAGGCTTATGTCTTGTGGTTTTCTGAATAATTACGATTTGATGATTCAAAATCTCACATTCATTTCTCAAATCTTCTTATCAATTAACAGAGGATACGAGAAAATGACTTCCAATTTTCAACCTCACGCACATTGACATAACATTTATGTAACGAAAAAAAAATCATTTACCTGAAATTGCCTAGTGTTGAAAGCTGAGTGATTTCTTTATATAATTGTTCATTGAATGTTGAGAACACTTTCAACTCGTTCACTAATATGTCAACCGCCTTTGCTTTGTCTTGCCTAATAATGTCAATCAAACGCATAATGACAATTAAATTCTTTGTGAACAATGACAGACTCAAAAATAGAACGGACAAAATATAAATATACCAATCAAGAGCTTCCATACACTTCTGTTTCCGGATTTCAAAGAATATCTTCATGGAGTATCTGTTATCGTCAACCTTAGTAAATCCAGATAGGTACTTCTCAACTTCTTCCCACTCACCAGCGTGTACTTTCTCCTCGAAGTATTTCATATTGAAGAAAAACCCTGACTCTTGTTCAAGCCTACAAAACCCACGATCACTTTCAAATGAAATTAACCATTTCAAAGCTGCAAAATATGATTAAGCGACAATCCAATATATATATGTGTGTGTGTAAAAAAATTATATATTCATGCTCCCCTTCTAGCTTCTCACGACTTTTTTTTTTTCATCATCTCTCACAAGAAGAGCGTGGGAGGCTAACAAAGTAGTGTCAAATTCATTCCCTATAAATATATATATATATATATATTAAAATCTTTGAATGTCTATTTTTCTTCTTTTGAGATAAGTTAGTTAAATGGCTGGTTTGGCATGCCTACCTAAAATCTGTTTAGTGTTAAGGCTAGGCACTGGCTGTATTGATCTGACGAGAATAAAATTTATTTATATTTTATTTTTCATTTTTATCCATGATAACCCATAAAAACCAAAATCTCTACTCAAATAGTCCTCATTCATTGAATTGGTTCTCAACTTAACCAGCCTAAATTCTAACTCCACAAGCCAATAGAAAAGAATTAAAATCTAAATTATCTTCTTTCTTCTTTAGCTCCATTTTCTCCCCTTCCAAACAAAAATTTCTATATATTCACAGATCATAAAAATATCACTTCAAATCTTATATAATTCATTAAAAACACCTGGAAAATCACTGACTTGAGATCAATTTTCTGTTCTTCCTTTCCCCTTTTTTAAAAAAAATAATAATAAAAAAAAATATGTTCTTCCTTTCCCCTTTTTTTAAAAAATAATAATAATAAAAAATAAAAATAAAATATTATTGGGAAACAAACACAACATAAACCATAAAAACCAATGTTGCATTTGGTAGAGTTTTGTAAATATGATTTGAGAGTATGAGTTGTATTTTAAATTTGTGAGTTGTAGAATTATGATTTGAGTGTAGAAATTTTGTTTAGTTATGAATTTTTGAATAGAGTGTTAAATTGAGTTTTGAATTGAGTGTGGAATTGAGGCCTCGTTTGGAAACCCTCCTTTTTAGCCAAAAAGTTACTAAAATTAGTCAAAAAGCCAACAACCCATACTAAAAAATCAAAGATTTTATTTTCTCTTTACTTTTTGCACATCATTTCGTAAAAAGTTAAAAAGTCATCCCAAACATACTAATTTTTTTTAGCTTATATTTTAGTCAAATAGTCAAAAAATTACTAAATTAGCCTGTTCCCAAACGAGGCCTTTTGAAAGTTTGATTTGACATGCGAATAAAGAAAATTTGTTTGGTTATAGTTTTGGAAAGAATTTTCAAAACTTAATTCAAATTGTTATAACTCATAACAAAACACACTACTTTCATAATATTGAAAATTCTGATCAACCCTCATAACCAAACTCTTTTTAAAATTAAATTTAAAAAATTTATTATTAACAGAAAATAACATTAATCAATTTTTTAATTGAAAATACTACAAAGGAAATAATTCTTTTTCAAAATAAATATTCAAAAAATTTAAATCATAAATATTTAAATAATTTAAATAATCTAAAAAAATTAATAAGTAAAAAATTAAAATAAATGTTCAAAAAATTTAAATCGTAAAAATTTAAATAATTTTAAATGTAAATATTTTAAATTTCAAAACAATTCTACACTCAAATCGTAATCAAACACATAAAACAAAATTCAATTAAGAAATTATTTTTAAAACTCATAACCAAACACATAACTCGAAACTCCATACTACTTTCACAACTCTACACTCAAATCGTAACTAAATACATAACAAAAAAATTAAAATATTTAAAAATATTTTTATAAAATAGAGTTTGAATTTATTTTTATAAAATATTGTAAAATTTAAAAAATTAAAATCGTAATATTTTGAAATTAAAATATTTAAAAATATTCAAAAAATTAAAAAAATCGTAACATATTTAAATATTAAAATATTTAAAATCTTAACAAAATTAAAATATTTTAAATATTCAAATTTTAAAAATTAAAATAATTAATTTGAATTGAGTTTTGAAAGTTTGATATGACGTGGAGTTTTGAATTATGTGTTTGGTTATGAGTTTTGGAAAGTAATGATTATGTTTTGAATTGAGTTTTGAGAAATGAGTGTAGAATTATGATTTAAAAACTCAAAACAAACAACACACTCAAATCAATAGGTGAAGCTATAATTTGAGAGGCTTACCAAACGGAGTCCAAATTTTTCCTTTAACCACAAACAAAACAGAGTTGATAAAAGAAAAATGCAGAGATGAGATTCACAGCACACAAAGATACATATACATATATATATATATAGAGAGAGAGAGAGAGACTCACTTGTGCACCGACTCCGTAAATTTCTCCTCCTCCAGGAACTGGAGTATGAGAAACACCAATTCCCTGCTGTGCGAGGACATTTTGCCCCACACCTCAACTCACTTCGAATCTCAAATCAAAAAAAAAAACCCAAAACACTTCCAAAAAAGCAAAATTCCGATGCAAAATTCCGATTCGAAAACCACCGGATCGAAAGAGAGCGTAGGGAATTTCTAGGGTGAGAAAAAAAAAAACTTCGATACGAAAGGCTATGGAGGGGAGAGAGAGAGAGAGAGAGAGAGATGGAGTGCGGGGAGACTAGACAAGCTCCAATGATATTGGCAGGGGTCTATCTATCTTTTCTCTACTGGCCAATCAGTGATAAGTTACTGTACTTATTGATACGACCTTGTTGACCACCTACGACCAAAAATTTATTTATTTATTTTTAAAAGACTAATAAAAAAAAATTTCGTATTTTAAAAAAAAAAAATCTATTTGCACAAGCGTATAAATTTATACACTATAAATATACATTCTATTTAATTGTTTATATATTCATAGATTTATATTCAAATATTTAATTTCTGCTTAAAATTTTTTATTTAAATATTATTTATAATTTGTATTGAGAATTTATATAATGTGTAAATATATATAATTACTCATTTTTTAATGACAATCTTAACAATTTGGTATGTCACAATATCATATGACATTATTTGATGTTTCGGGTTCATAAAAACAATAACACATTAAGGGATTGTGAAAAATTAACAAAACAAAAGCTAGTTTTTTTATTAACAAAATTTAAAAGTCAAGAAATTTTTAAATTGTTCAAAAAGGCACAAAATTTTTTTTACTCACAAAAAATTTAGTTTTTTAACAACTTTCTAGATACTTTAGCTTTTTTAATTTTTAAAAAACCCCAAAAAAAAATGAGAAATCAACCTCAAATCCATTTGAAATTCACTGATTTTTTAATTTTTAACAAAGGGGTTGTTTGGGGTGTCCTAAAAAAGTGCACTTTTTGTCTTTTAGACTAAAAAATTGAGGAAAAAAATATAGTTGTTCGTGTTAACTTTTTGACTTTTTACGAAAAAACGTATATTAAAAAATTATATAAATTAGTGTGCAGGAGAAGTATAAATTAGTGTGTAGGAGAAGGTAGAGAAAGTAGCAGTACGGCCAACCGTCTTGAGCAATGGCATTTCACATAAGAAATGGTTGCCTCATTTGCGGACATTGCATTTGACTGTGATGTTCAGTCCGTGGGGACCCACCACGGGTCCCTTTTTGCTAATCAAAATAGTTCAATGTGTAGAACCCGTCGAGTATTATATACCTGTAAAAAATCACGTTGATCGAATATCGATAGCTATCTGATCGGAGTAGTTTTTTTTCAACTGTTAACTATAACACTATCCATTTTTTTTTATACAAAACTGATTTGATCATATAGTTAGCGATATCCGATCAACGTGATTTTTTACAAATATATAGTATTCGACGAATCTACACATTGAACGGTTCATATTATCAAAATGGGACCTGTGATGGCCCCCCACAGGCCGAACAACAGCATGCTTTTCGTGCAATATGGCTGTACAATTTTTTCAAAAAAATTAGTTTCACCTGTGGACGTCAGATTGATTTTTATTATTTTTTGTGTAAAATTAATTTTTTTATTATTTTTTTTGGTGAATAGTGATAACTTTTAAATTTTTTTTGTAACTTTTTAACTTTTTGGATTATTTTAAATATGCCAAACCAGGCCAAAAAAAGGGGCAAAAATGTAGAGATAATAATTTGACAATTTATAATAATAATTTTTTTTTTACTTTTTCAGTAAAAGTTATATGTCTTAAACAAAGCTTAAGTAAATCATCACTTATCTTCTAATTATTTAAGGAAGATGAATTTATATCTCTTCTCCATATAATTCAAGATATGTGATATGGGCCACTTCATAAAATTTGATCTATGAAAATACTATTTTAATGTAATATTTCTCATTATATATAATTTTTTTTTAATATACATAACGACTTAATTGAGAAGTAAATTAAAAGTTAAATTTTAATTTTTTTAAAAAAATATATAAAAAATAAAAAATGATATAACTCAAAATAATTAAAGGTAAAAAAAAAAAAGTTATGTTTGGAAAAGCTCTCTAAATACATTTCCACCCTTATTTTGAGTGTATCGTTTGTTTAGAATTTTCAAAAATTAATTCTACATCTTCTTTTGAAAACTTTTTTCAAGATAGAAAAATTTGGACTAACCGGTCGTCTTCCTAAACGTTTGATTAATTGACTGGAACAATATTTTTTTTTTTATAATTGACACTTGTTATTTTCTATATTTTAAATTAAAAAAATTCAGATTTTTTTAAAAAAAATTATGAGTTTTGAATAGAATTTTAAATTATGTGTTTAGTTATGAGTTATAAATTTTTGTATTAAATATCATATATCACATCAAAAATTCTCTACCTAGTACCTAATACAAAATTCATTCACCAAATAAATTTTTCATACTCAAATTATAATTTTAAAACTTACAAATTCAAAACATAACTTTATTTTCAAATTATATTTTGAAAATTTTAATAAAAAAAAAGGCGAACATCATTGGTAACTAGGCGGCAGTGGCGTTGGGTGTCGCGGATTCCAAAACACAAATTCAATGCAGTTGAATATCCGGTTCTGGTGGTGACATCGTCCAGTCAGGGCTATTTTGGAAAGTTGGCTAAAAATCATTTTTTTTGATTTGTAGCAAAAGCTAAAAGTTGGCTTTTTTATCTTTTTTTTTTTCATTTGGGAAGTTGGTTACTAGCCAACGGTGAAATTACAATTTTACCCTCATGGGTCAAAATGTGTTACATAGGTGAAGTCGTAAATATTTTAAATAAATGGGGATAGTTAGGTCATTTTATTATGATTTGACATCATAAATAAACATTAATCAAAAAAGTCAAAAGTCACTTTTTACCAACTTCCCAAATCATTTGTCTAAAAAAGCCAAAAGCTTGGTTAAAAGCCAAAAAACTACTTTTTACCATCTTCCCAAAATAAGCCTCAGTTGTGCATTCAATTATCGAATATGGTATTATTTTTTAATAAATGTCGGCACTAACTCTTCGGACTAGTTTATCGCAATATTTTGCTTTTTTTTTTTTTGGACTTCGCTGGGACCCTCCGTGACTCTTAGGGCCACATGGAGCTCTGCCATTGGCTGAAAGTTAAAAAAAAAAAATAATTTTTTGGACCAATCACAAGAGACCCCAGCACTTCCATTGGGGGTCTCATGTATTTTCCTTTTTTTCTTTTGTCTTATTTTTTGTCCCGATATGTGCCCTTGTCGTTAGAAATAAAAAGTTCCGTAATCCAACACATGATCAGCCTTTTTAAAGCATAGACGAAAACAAATACAAGTGACTTAACCCAAAGGTGGGTGGCATTGTGGTTAAAGTTTGGGCTTTAAGTCCCAAGGTTACAAGTTCAATTCTCTCTTGAACCTCAAGTTGGGTAGGGAGGATTGCTCCCCCCGCTGCCTTGGACCTACGGGAGGGTAGGGAGGAATTCTCTCTTGGACCTCAAGTTGGGTAGGAAGAATTGCTCCCTCGTTGCCTTGGACCTACGGGAGGGTAGGGAGGAATTCTCTCTTGGACCTCAAGTTGGGTAGGGAGGATTTTCCTATAACAAAAAATCAGCACTTGGTGTGGGTTCAATGCGCTCCCGCTGCCTTAGACCTACGGGAGGGTATGGAGGAATTCTCTCTTGGACCTCAAGTTGGGTAGTAAGGATTTTCCTATAACAAAAAATCAGCACTTGGTGTGGGTTTAATACTCCCTCGCTGCCTTGGACGTACGGGAGGGTAGGGAGGATTTTCCTGTAACAAAAAAAGAAATACAAGTGACTTAGCCTCCGTTTGGGAAGTGGGTTGACTTTTTGATTTTTTTGACTATTTTAGCCTGGGCTAAAAAACTTGGTTTGAAAAGGATTTTTTGACTTTCTGACTTTTTTGATTTTTTTGTGAGAGAAGAATGTAATAATTATGGATTGGATGTGATGTTTTGTTTGTTGTGGCTAAAATAGCTTATTTTGTTTTTTGTGGCTAAAATAGCCACAAACCAACTTGCCAAATAGACCTTTAAATAGTTTGTTGGGCACCGAAAAAAACAAATAATAATAATTTTTTATTTTTTCACTATTAAAAATATAAAAATAATATATTATTATATTAAAATTTATAATTTTTATTATTTTTAAATTTTTATTTTTTGTATTAAATAAATAACTTAAAACGATACCAAAAATTTTATATAATATTTCATATGTGAGTGTGGTGTATAACTTTTAAGATTTCTAATATTTTTAAAACAAATAATAGAGGAATCTGTTGTGCTACAAAGGTACACTGGCTCTGTTGGTACACATATGATGTTTGTTTAGGTGTTTCAAATCATAATTTCACACACTTTTGAAAATGCGGTCGAAAGCGAAAAAATTTAGACTAACCGATCATCCCATTGGATGTTCTACCGGACGTCCCCATCGGTTGACCAAAATAGTGCAATTTTTTTTATTTTATTTTTTTTTCGCAATTGACATATGTTAGTTTTTATAAATTCGAAAAAAATATTTTTCGAATTTTTAAAATTTTTCTATGTGCTTTAATAGAATTTTGAGTTGTATGTTTGGTTATGAATTGTAAGTTTTTGTATCAAACGTTATATGTCACATCAAAAAATTTTCATTCAATTCAAAACTCTTTCTCCAAATAAATTTTTCATACTCAAATCATAATTCCAAAAGTCACAAACTCAAAATACAACTTCTACTCTCAAATCACATTTGGAAAACTCTACCCAACGTGATCTAGATTTTTACCAAGACTGTGTTTTGATCTCCATTTATTTGGCCTTTTTCTTCAAGATTTTTGTTGCAGTTCCGATTTGTAGCTCGAAATTCGGAGGCTCGTTTTGGTGTCATTTTTTTTTTCCGCCATTTCTGAAGCTGAAGACGAAGAAAAAGAAGAGAAGAAGAAGAAGAAGAAGAAAAATGCATAATACACAGAGAGAGAAGACATAATGTAATGCAATGCCGCAGATGAAGATCTGGTCCACCTTCCTTCATTTATTCTTAAATTAACAATATTTATTGCATTACATTTCCTTCATATTTTAAGCAATTAATCTGACTGGGTTCATCAACAGAATTTTTTTTCCCTTCATCTTCAATCCAGATCAACATCAAAAAAAAAAAAAAAAAAAAATCTGGCTGCTAGGTTCATCAACATCAACAAAAAAAAAAAATTTGGTTCTGCAAATCAACAAGAAGATC